AGAGGGGGCAGGAGCAGGCTGGGGGGATGGGGTCTGGGTGAGGAGGTGAGGCAGTTTGGGGGGCAGCCGGGGCTTGGCAAGAAGGGGTGGGAGGCACTTACTTTTTTTCAGGCCCTGTGCTGGTACTGGACTCCTCTTCCCACTGTTCCTATTAGCCGGATTCTGGCCAATGGGAGCACAGGGAAAGGCTCCAGACAGAGCATTGCTGTTCCCTCAGCCTGGGAGAGGGAGCGCTGCTTCCCCACACAGGGAGGCTCAGGGCTTTCTCTGCCTTCCCGACCCCCGCAGTGGGAAGCCAGTACTAGTGCTTCAAACATGCGAGGGAGGAGGAAGGACATCTTCCCATGCAGTGAGGCTCAGGGCTTTCTCCCTAGGGTTGCCAGGTGTCCGGTTTTGAACCGGTCAGTCCGGTATATGAGCTTTCTGTCCAGGAAACAAATTGAGAAGATACTGTACATATAAATGTCCGATATTTTCTAATTAAATTGTTATTATCATCATGAGTATTATCAGTGCATATTTGCGTACTGCCTGGCTAGCAGACACGCTCACACTGCATGAGTGTGTCTACCAGCCAGGCAGTACGCAACTATGTGATAGAGAGGAGGGGAGGCGGGGCTGAGGCAGGATGGAATCCCTAGGGCCGGACTCACTCGTGCTCTGCCGGGACCGTGTGTAGGACGGGCACCACCCCGGGATCTGCGTGCGCCCAGGCCAGCCCACTTCCCGCTGGCTGGTTCCCCACACCACTAGCCCCCTTCCCCCTGACTCCCTCCCAGCCAGACCTGCACCAGCAGCGGCTGAATCGGGGATGCCTGGGGCAGAGTGGGACTATCGTAAGGGGGGGCTATGAGAGGTCTGGGGTGGAATCCCCTCCCACCCCACTCCAGACCCCTCATAGCCACCCCTTCTGATAGTCCGGCATATCTGATAATCTGGCACCCCCTGGGTCCCAAAGGTGCCGGATTATCGGAAGTTTAATGTATGTTGTTGCGTACTGCCTTGCTGGTGAACATGCTCATGCTGCCGGGACCGTGGGCAGAATGGGCAGAATTCTGGGATCTGCGTGCGCCCAGGCCAGCCCTGCTCTCTGCTGGCCAGTTCCCCCGCCTTCCCTGGCCAGCCCCGCTCCCCACCAGCCGGTTCCCCCCCATC